CGTGGAAAATTAATTTCATATATATATATATATATGTATATATATATATATATATCACCGGAATCAGATTGTAACAATAATATTGTCTTCCTGTATATGGTTAGGCTGATATGATAGAATCATTCCATGATCATCCAATACGATTTTCGTTGAGTGTATAGAATCCCGAAGCTTAACTTTTGAGAACTTAAAAACCCGAGTTTAATTAGAAGTTTCTGTTCAGCCACGAGCAAAAAGCATGGCAATTAATATATTTATTCTACTAGCTACCATATAGATATAGTTATTGTCAGTACTATATATATATATATATACACACACACACACACACACACACACATATTATCATTTATTCAGCTCTCACTGTTGAGGTACGAATTATGATAAGACCTTACAATGGTGCACAGCTAGCCAAACTATCAAGTTAATTATTAGCTATTTAATTAATTTAGAAAAGAATTAATATGCAGTACTTATATGTGTTTGTATATGTTATATGTTATATATTTGGGAAAATTGATGATCTCTTTTTTATTGTTTGTTTCGATCTTAATATATACATCGTAAAAACGACAATAAGGGATTATATACGAAAAGAAAAATAAAGTGGGAAACAGAAAAAACACGCATGATCAAACCAAAATTGATTCATCCAAAAAAACAAAAAAAAAAAAAAAAAAAAAAAAAAAAAAAAACTAAAATTTATTATGCACTTTAATTAATATGTGCTTTATTATTATATCCATACTAATTTAAGCTCATGTGAATTGAATGTTAATTAAAACATAAATAGAAGTTCGTAGCAAAAATAAGTACTGTCTGATTGCAAGTCTTATAAATCACACTACTTTCTTTTTCCCAGAGAACAGACTGAGAAACTAATGAAAATAAATAATTAAAGACGAACGAGCTGTTTAAAACAAAACAAAACAAAACAAAACAAAACAAAAAAAAAGTCTTTAAAGACTTTCTGTCTATTCGATTTTTGCTCTTTTTCTTGCATGATTGGTAGAGAGAGCGAAAGAAGGGTTACTTCACAGTCACCAAGTTTGAAAATATCTTGTAGAATTGATGAAAATGTTGTTAGTATTCTCGCAATTTTCTTTTTATCTTATTCTTAAAACAAAAAATTAATATAGTAGTTGCTTAGACATGAAGCCATTATTCAAATTGTTAAAATGTGAATCTCTCTCTCTCTCTCTCTATATATATATATATATATTATATATACACACAATATATATAGTTGAATGCAAAAAGTTGTTCAAAGATTTAAGCCAAACCATTAATTTGCTTTGCTTTTGGAGCATTCTGGTGCTGCCAAGTAAACAATATGCCCAAGTACTACTACTGGCCGCCAGTCTATCCAATTTGTATGGGGAAGGATATTTTGGCTTTTGGAAGATCTCTTCCTTATGACTCTCTCTCTCTCTCTCTCTCTCTCTCTCTCTCTCTTCAATTTGAATAAAAGCATAACAAATTTCCAAATAGTCCTAGACACACCAAAAGCAAAAGGCAATAATGTGAGGCTATGCTAGGTCAGAAATGGAATACAAATCACAAATACATGTACATGCAGATAAGGGGGACAATCTTTTACGTCTGAGACAAATAGGCGAGATTTTTCTTGAAATAGAAACTTTTTATCCGAATACTACTCAAGCAGCCTTACCCCAAATAGAAAATTTTTCGAAATTTTTCCCCAAAGAAATCATTGAAAATTAATTGGACATTTATATATATTTTTTCTTTCTTATATATCTAATTAAGAAATAACCATTAATGTCTTAGAAGAAAGTTTCCAACTCAAGCACGTCTCTGCACAACCCTAAGGGACGAAGCAAAAGATGCCACGAGAAAGAATGGTCCTAATAATATTATTGGCATGGCTAAATCTCTGCATGCACTTTGGTTTATATATATATATACACCAGTTGCCACTTGTGAAGCAAGTATAAAGGATAATTGTCCCTTGCACCGTCATTAGCATTAGCAGACTATCACTCTCTCTCTCATAATTCAAAAAAGATATAGCCTCCTTTAGCTACAAGAGAGAGAGTCAAACATTGGATTGGTAGGATTCTGTCGGCCGAAAGAAACTTGGTCAAGCCACGCCAAAATGGACTAATAACACAATGCCCCTTTCATTGATACAAGTAACTAGAATGTACATAAAATTTCAAAATTGAATAATGTTTTACTATAAGGGAGACGACTTAATGAAGTTGATAAATTACTACAACGATTCCCACTGCATTAACAAACAACTTGTTTAGTGACGAAACTTTTAGCGACAACAATTTTTTAACCATTTAATTAGGAATTTTAGCGATAGATTTTGCTAGGTATGATAGATTTTTTACTCTAGGAAGTTATGTAACTCGCAAACTCATTTCAAGTGAGGAACTCATGACAATCCATCATACAACGACCTTGATTCGAGCTATAAGTTTTCTTTTTATATTTTTCTTATCTTGTAGTCCTATATACATGTGAAGGGTATAATATTTAATGTGACTTGTAGAGCTGAAAGCGATCTTGTATGGACGTATATGTATATTTTCCCAAGAGATAGATAGTACTGATCAAGTCTGCAAGCTAAGAATGTATATGAGATATATCCAGACTTTACGGCCAATCCCCGTGATGCATATTTAAAGCAATTAACATGTGCTTCAAAAGGTTTGTAGAACCGTTTCCCAATCTCTAATTTTGTGTGGCCTTTTTACACTCATATGTGTGTGTGTGTGTGTGTATATATATACATACATATATATATATATACACACACATAATCTTACTCTTATCTGCCTTTGGCCAAACTTTGTGTGGATAGGAGTCTTATCAACACACGTTTGGATAGTTTAGAGCAAAAGCCGATAATATATATAGAAAATATAGGTCCCAAGAGTTGTGGATAATTTCTTTCAACACTTTCATATATAGATGAGAAATGTGTATATATCTGCGTATATGTATATATGTATATGCCAGTTGCCGAGCCCATCCCTAGATCCTGTGGAGTATGGGCTGCAAAAAGCTTTTTCATTGAGTAGTCAGTTCCTCAAAATGGTCATTTAAAGCTACGAAAAAAATGGAAATGATCAATGTATAAAGGGTTATGGAGAAGAAGGCAGATAAGCGATATATATATTGAATCTTTTTTTATCTCTTTCTTTCACTCTATCCACAAAGGATTGGCCAAGAGAGATCCCATTTTGTCTTCTCGTGACTTTGATTTTGATTGGCCAGAAAGCTTTTGTCTTGTCAATATTGCCATGCATTATTCACTATTTCTCTAGTACTTCTAGCTCTTTCATCTCTCTGCATGAGTCTGCCCTTGTTCCTTTTTGAAATTCAATATATTGTTAAATTATAGTAATAAAAATCATATCTTTAACAAGACATCTGATCCCCTAAAACTCAGATAGTACTTACTATAGGCCAAGACACATAATGCGTACCAATATGGTCATTGCTATGGTCCTCCTAAGAAATGTCCATTTAATTCACACGTTGAAGTTAATAATTTTGATTTATTAGCGGAAATTTTGTGAGAGAAAAAATTTTTGAATTTAAATTCTTTGTGAGATGAAAAATACTATAGCAGAATCAAAATTATGAGTTTACGTATATAAATCAAACGGAGCCGTGACATGACAATTATTAATCAATAATATTGATGTTAGAAAAGTGTAACACGATTAAATTTAGTTTTCTAAGTCAGTGTTATATTGAGTATATTTTATGTTATGTAATATAAAGTCAAAACAACAATTAGTAAAATGTCTGAATCTAAACTTAATTCATCATTGTAGCTTGTGAATGGAAATGTAACAAATCCCAATATTGAATACATTATCTTATAAAAGGAGAGAGAAAAAAAAAGTCCAATCAGTTGAATTAGAGACATGACAGGACACGTTTACGGTTGTTAATTCTTGAATATTTATGAGTTGGAGAACCTGTCACGAAATGTTGAATTTCAACTATTTAGATCAGCACATACCTTTTCTTTTCCCCTAGTTATAGGATGACCATAGGTGGAGTGTAGAGTTTCTAAATGTCAAAAGCATAGTCATGTTAAGACTCACAAAGTTAAGTTATTTGGTTAAATTAAAAAGGCATCCACATGTTATTAAGGCGAAACTACACTAAGCATGATTAGTACTAGCTATTATGGAAATTGATTAACAAATTACTTTATTAACAACATTTGAACTCTTTTTATCATAAATTAAAAAAAAAAAAAAAAAAAAAAAAAAGAAGAAGAAGAAGCAAGAACTCTTAATAGAATAGTTGATTTCATTGATACAATTGTACCAATATTATTATTGAATTTTTGTCTCTCATTGCCAGAAGTACTTTTTAACTTGTTGATATTGATTAGTCAGAATGTATTAAAGATGGGATATAGAATATATCACATAACATAACTCTAAAACACAACTAGATGACATAAGGCTCAGTATTTAGCTTAAAAAACATTTAGTTTTGATATCTTTTTTCTTAGATAAAACTGGGATGCATATAATATATCCCAAAAAATTGAGTTATAGCATGCAAATAGCTTTTTCGTATAGACTAAGAGAAACGTAATTTCTAAAATTAGTTATTTCTTCAGTGCAA